CGCCAACTTATTCTGCAGAACTTTACAATATTATACAATGGGGAAATTTAACAATAAATGAGACCATTACAAAATGTTACAGGAACAATAGGATGTTGAGGACCCTGCTCAAACAAGCTTACAGTCTGGATGATGTTCTTAATGTATAGCAGCATCATATGTTATCCTTCACATAGTTTAGGGTGATATAGGGGCAGCAAAGATGCATTTTAATTCAGTAGGAATGCATGTGACTTTCTTGTTTCCATTTTTTGCAATTTTGCTGCAATTTGTTAGCAAGGTACTGAGTTGTGTAGATCATGACACAGGTTGCTATCTCCAAATATTTAATCTATATGGAAACCATCCAAAGAATGATTTGATATAAATTTTGCCATGCCAGAAATTTGAGGGTGGCTACCCATGTTTTGCCATAATTTTCCTAGATCTAAGTAACATTCACACTAGCTAACTATAAAAATATCCAACTATAAAAAATAAAACAAAAACAAAATTGTGTAAAATATATGACTATAAAACTTTTTTGCATCACAAATTGTTATGAAATGATTATGTAATTATGTTTAGATAATTCACATAGTTATGCATCCATCGGTTAATTGCAAGGTCAACAAACAAACATATAGCATTCTCATCGGTATGATAATTGCAAGTTCAACAAGCATATAAATAAAATTCTCAGATAATAAACTCTTAATCATGCCTCCTTTTTCTCAGTATTTTATTTTTAACCTTTACTGCTTACCAAAAACATTTGCAGGCAAACAAATGTATACTATACATTTAGTATAGATGTATACTAAAAAGAAAATGACAGAAAAACAATATTAATCAATCATCCTAGACATGTCAACATGATAGTAACACAAATAGCAAAACAGAAGAAGACAGAACAATGACAACGTTAGAGGAAGATGAAGGACCTTAAAGAATGAGTTCAGGGAATTAGGTAGCAAACTTAAGAAGAGGACCTCCAAGATGATATTTTCTGAGATATTATCTGTGCTGCACAATGGAAAGGCAGCAGGAGATTAGAGAGGTCAATTTGTGGCTGAAGTATTGGTGCAGGAAAGAGGGTTTGGGGTTTTTGGACCACTGGGCCAATTTTGCTCTAGGGTACAATCTTTATAGCCTGAATTGAGGAGGGTTTTTCGTGCTGAAAATGTCTAGAAGGTTCGAGGAGGCTTTAAACTAGGAGTGGGGGGAGGGTTAATGAAGTGTAAATGTGGTAGATAATACAGAAAAGAGAGAATTCAGCTGAAGTCACGGATGGTGGAGATGGGAGGAGTGATGAGATTGATGCATAGTGGTGGAGTGGGAGAGTGGTGGAGAGAGATCAAGAAGTTATTAATGACATCTTGTTGAAATAAAGTTAAAGTACTATGTGCTGTTTTTAGCCTATTTGCCAGGGCTAGTTAATAAGAAATAACCTCTCTGGGATACTGGGATATTGTCTTTCAGTTATCTATCTACTGTGGATAATTGGATGTCTTATACCATGCTGAGTTATTCCCAAATCGGAATACCATTCCCTACAGGTGAAGTGGAGTTACTACACGTTTGTACCATATTATGGGCATTTTACTTACAATGCAGGAGATCATTTGTGTTTGCTGCAGCTTTTGTGACAACTGAGACCTCAAGTGACCAAAAGTGGGCCCCATACATTGACTGCAATACATTTGTTTTTTTCTTTGAGGCAGCTTTGTGATGACTAAGACCCCTAGTGATAAATATTGGAGACTACAAATAAGGATAAATGTATTTATTATTATTATGTTTGTATATTTTGCAAAAGTTTTTGAGTAGAGCTTTTTTGTTTCAAACTACTAATTTTCATGAAATATTACTTAGGTGACCATTTTAAAAAAAACTCATCTTATCAAAGTTATTGATTTTTTTTTCATATATTTCCACTTTTCTCTCTTTTGAAACATATTTTATCATATTGAGGGTCTTAAGGAGGTGCAGATAGTTTTGTGTATATAGGTCCCTTTTAAAAGTATTAAGTTTTATTCCAAGATAATCAATTGCCAGGCTATTATTTTTAAAGGAGAACAATAATTATAGGTAAGTTAAAGTCTCAATTTGGATTCAATTTGTAGCCTCATATTTGTGTGATTGACCTCTATATGCACTATAGAGATATAGTAGGGTTCATAAGCAATAATAAAATGTAATAAGCAAACACGCTTATGGTATGTTCTGCAGATCCACAGCAAATTCCAGTTATGTCTGGATCATTCCTAATATAGAAAGCCAGAGGTTTATTGTAGAGTGCAAATAACAAGGGTGACAGAGGACATCCTTGTCTCATCCTATATCCTTTTGGTATCACAGAGGACAGTATTCCTATAGCAAAAACTCTAGCTTTGGACCATTGTAAAGGCTCTTGATCATTGACATAAACCTATAACTCAGTTTTAGCAAATAATTTTAAGATAGGCTGATCAAACAGACAGAAAATACAACTTTCTTTCACTAGATTGATTTTGAACCCACTGTAACACAGTTACCTTATTTCTTAGTCACACAGTTAGAATGCTGACAGGGAAAGACGAAATAAACCTTGCTGTTCATGAAAGTACTTATTTTGATTGGCTCACATAGCCTAGTATGGATGGCAATGCCTCTGTCATGAGGAAACAAAAATGCTCTTTTATCTCAGACGACTCAGTTATGACCAAAGGAATTTTATTTCGTGAATGGTTCACACAGTGATTAAATGGCTAACAATGCTTCCAATAGACATACTAGGATGAGAAGAAACAACAAGGACTAGAATAGTTATCCTTTTTAATTTTCTTTTTTTGTTGATAAAAGACAGCACTTGTTGAAGGAAACCATGAACAAACGTACTTACGGATTGGAAAAATTACTTTTATTTGAAAATATCAAGTGAAGTAATTAATACACTGTTAATTAAATATTTGAAATGTGTTGCTTTGGGTGTGATCCTACATCGTTTTATCATAATTTTCCATTTTAATAAAATGAATCATCAGAAATCCAAAAGTTTGAAAAAGGGAAACAAGTTTACATTAAAAGAAGTAAACGTTGCTTCTGCAAATCTTGCAAACCCTATTCAAATACATACAAGTAAGCAGATCAGTGCAATGTTAATACATAAATATAAGTAGATTGAAAAGCTGCATGATTGTTATTATATATTATATATATTATTATAACCATTTCAAGAACCAAGCACCAAACGTATCCGTGGAATTGGATGGTTAAAGGGACGGTAACAATATTAACAATATACTAAAATAAATGGATGGAACGTTTGTTGATCGGTGAACGTTTTTTTAAAAGCTCTCACCATGAACACTATAGCTGCAGGAGTGCCTATCGCCTCCCCATTGTAAGCAATCAAACCATTTTAGCATTTTTATTTTTTACCTTGGGTATGCTGGGCAGTGCTTTCTGCCTACACTACTGCCAAGAGAGAACTGATGCTCTCAGCCAATTATCTATCTCAAGAGAAATCTGCACTTTTATAAAGCTTCAAAGCTGCATCCACCCTGTCTTTCAATCTGACACACAGCGACAGGCTGTTCCTGAAGGCTTTGTGCCCTAGCACAATGAAGAAGGCAAGGATTCTCATAGAGAAGCCCAAATTCCTAATGCTTCTCTACGAGAAGCATTAAATTGGCTGGAAGATCATATTTACAGATTATCTCCAAGAGATGATACGGAGGGCCCTTTAACCGATGGTCTCAAAAAGCAGGGGAATAGAGGGACATTCAAACGTCACAACACTCCAGCGTTATAAATAAATATATTAATTAATAACACTGAAGTGTTCATTCAAGTTAACTAACTAGATGGCTATTAGCATATATAGGTTGCATTTTATTATTACTACTGTGGACCAGACATTCACTTCTATGTCTTTGATTCTAATTTACAGCAGAATTGTTGTTTACACAGTTCTGCATTCCCTCACTGCAGTAAATACTCTTGAACCACTTCCACATTCAGTGAGAATTTATGACCCAGTGATGCTCTAGGCAGACTTATGTGCATCTACAGAGAAATGTCAAAGAATCCTTATATGGTGTCATTTACTTGCAAATGGTGCTGCAGGGGTTAAATGAACTTACATCGTATGCACATTTCCAAAAATAAAATAAATTAAAAGTAATGGCATCTCCACTTAAGTTATTCTTTCCTGGCAAAGAAAAATAAATATAGATATATAAATATATATGTATATATAATCTTGTAAGTTTTTGTTTTGTTGTCATATTATTTTTCATGAGATTTAGTAATGATAGGGTAATAATTAACTAGGTATAACAAGAGAATTCAGTAATACAAACACAAAAGAATATATAACACCCTTAATATTGACGTACTGCTAAATTATTCGCTCACAATAAATAATCACTGCTGTGCCGAACAAGACAATTAAAACTGAAGAAACAAACAATAAGGGCTAACATAATAAAACAATGCTTTCTAAAAAGCACAGCAAAGTGTCAACAATGAACTGCAGCATCATAGTAATAATAATTAATTATTATTATTATTATTATATTGAATTAAACCTCTCAATACATGTATTTTTATTACAAGAGTTCTGCTATTCCTAAAACAAAATCAATGTCATCCTTTTGTCCCTGTATACATACAGATGTAAAGTACGGCTATAGGAACAACTGGCTTATTAATTCTAGATCTGCAATGGGAAAAGAGTTCCAAAGATTGTTTGATAGCTGTTGCTTTTCTCCTCCCATTGCTCAGAACTGGCAGAAATGTATTAGTATAAAGAATGCTCATGCTTTTTCAAACCATAGATCATAAATGCATGTAATAGACAATGTTTGATGTATGGCGACAGATAGTACTATCAGCTAGAACCTAGCTGACAAATGGTGAGTAGAGATGTCGCGAACCATCCGCGAACTTCTCGCGAAGGGTTCGCCGCGGTTCGCCACGAGCTGTTCGCGGCGAACTCCGGTCAGCTGACACGTCCCGGCCAATCTCCAGCAGACCCTCCCTCCCAGACCCTCCTACTTCCTGGACAGCATCCGTGTTGGATGCTGTCCAGGAAGTAGGAGGGTCTGGGAGGGAGGGTCTGCTGGAGATTGGCCGGGACGTGTCAGCTGACCGGAGTTCGCCACGAACAGCTCGTGGCGAACCGTGGCGAACCCTTCGCGAGAAGTTCGCGGACGGTTCGCGACATCTCTAATGGTGAGGAGCATCTGGATTTGAGCTTGTTAATGCACTGAGGGTGAATTTGTCTAAAATACCACAAGTGGCAAAATATTAGTTATTCTATATAACAGAGTTTACAAGGTAAACATTAGAAAGTATTTTTTTCCCCACAATAATCCCTAAATGCCATGCTAAATATGTAAATAAGCACTTACAGCTGTCACCTTTCCACATTTCAACCCGAATTCTGCAGGCTCATATAGGAATGATTTAATACAATTAATAAATATTAATTAATGTTTTAAGGTGAAAGTGAAAACACCTTATTCGCACATTCACCTACTACTTTACACTCAGAAGTGCCTACTGGTTTCCAGTATTAATTTTCATATAGCAATGGAATGCTATTTTACAAAACAGTCTTTTTTGTTTTTCACCAAAATATGAACTATGATCATAACACACCAAAGACCAACCACGGCCGACACAATTGTCTGGTGTTGGAATCATTAGCTCAGGGTTTATGGAGTCTAGTGGAAATATGTCTGGCAGTATAAAGCACAACAATATCTGAATTGTGATGGCAAAACCTCCTAAATTTGAAAACTCCTTTTACATTGATAATGTCACAGCATTATCTTGCATGTAGCATGTTTCAGAAGAGGATTCAGAATCGTATCTTGAAGATTTGTGTTCTATGGAGTCTCTGACATCTTCTCTACTAATCAGTCGGATCTGGTTGGTCAAACATGGTTACCTTGGTTTGAGTTTCTTCCCCTACTTAAGGCTTACAATTTTTAATTGTTTTCTGACCATCATAAATGGCCTGGAATGATCTACTATCACCTTCATTCCAATAATTCATGATAAGGCATTTGCACATTACTGATAATCTTCTGTCAACTCTGCCACAAATATATCAATGTTCTATTTTGTCTTTGTGATTTATTTACTACATTCTAAATAGAAGCAAGCTACAATATCAATGAGGAAAAGATTGTGCCTATAGCTGAGCTGAGCTGGGAAATTCAAATGTAGTGGTGGATGGTGAATTTTAAAGATAGTGGGGAATTGTCCCCTGACTTGCTGGGTTGGGCTCTACCTACTAAACTATCACCTCCCCATCGTCTCTTTGACAATGCCATGGTTAAAACCAGATGCATCTCCAGTCATCAAGAGTGGGAAAAGTGAAAACTGCACAACAGTCAATTAAAAAAAAAAAAAAACATTTTTAAGAGTGTCCAATGAAAACAAATTGTAATTCTTCCGAAATGGAATGCACAAGTCTTTGAAATAAAATGCAGGCAGGGGCTAACAAAGAGAAAACATGGAATATAGACTTGAGTGATGTAATAAATTCAAATGAGGAGAGTGAAATAAAATGAATAAACATCAATTTGATTACAATAAAAATAAGGAGAAAAAGGTGGAGGCTGATGATCAGGTGAAAGCAAATGCAAGTATATGTAGTCGGATAGTGCACATGTTCAAGCCTAAGGTGCAAAAAAAAAAAAGGCTAAAATATAACTAGTGTGGGTGAAAAAACTTTCAATTGTTAGAATAAAAAAAAAAAAACGGTTTTATATTTATCCTGAATACTTTTTAAAGACTAGTGAATATATAAACATCAACCAAGACATAAAATAACACAGTTCAATGAACAAATTACATGGTCTAACACCGACCCACAGAATATTTTGTCATTGTTGCGTTGTGAATGTCTGTGCAGGTTTATATTTTACTATTTGGAAAGAATAATTTAAAAACTACATTTATTTGAAAAGCATTTTACTTGAATGGAGCTAAAACATGTGTTAATAAATTTTGATGAATTGATATCCGATTAAAATACATCTATAATTCTGTATAAATAACTAGATGGTCTTTTACAATTTCTTACTTAAATATTATGCACTCAGAGTATGCCAGCATATGAGAGAATATGAATAGTTCTTTTCTTTTCAAATATATTTCATAAATAAATAGGGTTCCCTGCCATTTGTGAAAAAATGGCTCATAGAAAGGTGACAAGGACTCTTTAAAAAGAGCATCAAATATTCCATTACCATTATGCAGTAATACAGGAAACATTTCATATGATTTATCTTCTGGTATAATAAAGTAATCGAACTCCAGTTCACAAGGTAATTTGAGCCAATGCAGTCCCTGAAATTGGGTTGTATGAAAGAAAACATTTGATTTTAACGAAAGTTAGTAACTCAAATTCTAAACTTTTTATTTCATTCTACTACATTTAGTAATAAATATATATGACTTGTTAATGTATATTATTATTTTAAGTGTAGCAATCCCAGAACTTGATATTGTTTAAACCTAAAACGATATCAAGGAGGTTGACTGTTTTAGCTCCATTCAGTTGGAACAGGCTACCCCCATCAGAGTCTCACTTAGTCTTCAATTATTTAAGAAGTCCCTCAAAACGCATTATTCAGAAAAACTTATGGCTATCCAGAGTAACATGTATTTGCTCTCTCCTAAAGGGTAACACTCCACTCTCACTTCCAGTTCTTCTACTTTCCCAATTCCCAAAAAGTCCTGCATCCACGAGTTAGCAGTAATGGTGCGACCAGCAGACTGATGTTATTCCCTCTCTAACCTTAAGTCCCTTGAAATGTTATCACTTGTAATATCTTTAAGTCCGGATGCATTTACACAGCAGCATTCACTCATTATACTCACAGATTCAATGGCAATACATTACAAATAGAAATATACACATACATACATATACACACGTGCAAATATCATTGTATGTTTTTAGATGGTCCAGTTAATAAAGCCATTAAACTCGATTTAGTTATCTTTTTATTCTGGGAGGGTGGAGGAGGCGGTAGCAGGCAGCACCTTAGAATGCCTAGAGAGAAACCTAACATAATAATCTAGCCCTGCTAAAATACTATGTTCGAAATACAATAATTTATAACGAGATGTAGTCTCTTATGAAGAAATGTAGTCTGCTTATATTTGAATAATATTAAAACCTCTTTGGCATTTGTAAATCAGTTTCTCCTTCTACATGAGTTTTGTCATGTTCCCTCTTCTTGTACATGATAAACAGCCTTAGAGCAGTTATTCATACTTTCCATTACATTCTCTACTGTGAATTTATAAGTATGTGCGGCTTGCTTATCACTGGAGTTTCTGTATTCTTTTATTTTGGCCAAGTGTGTTATTGTTAGTCTTGCAAAACAGCTTTTTTTTCCAGAATGCATATATTTGTTCTAACTATTACATGTCTTGTTATTAACTATCGTTGCCAAGAGACTGATTAATCTTTTTTGTCCCAGTCAAATTTTGCATTTTGAAAACATGCCATAGAGCCAAAACTAGTTAGCTGTTTGCAAATAAAAATTAATATATGTGCCAGAGAATATGCAAAAACGCATATTATGAATAGATCACATACATTTATTTTCATAACAGGTAAAGAAAGCAAATGCATATTATCATATTACAGCAAACCTTACAGCATAATATATCAATGTTTGAACTTGGTGGCAAGTAAAAAATGAGTGTTCCCTTTTGGCTCTGAGATTTAACTGCAATGCGGTGGTCTGGGTTCAATGGTCATGTCCTTTTAACCCTGCAATGTAAAATATAGTAGTTTTGGAGAAACTTCAATGTTTGCATTTTAAGGTTAAACACAACTCTAGAGGCTCAGCCACGTGACGTCAGTCACATGACATAGAAGTCCCCATGGGAAAGCATTGATTCAGTGGCACATGGCAGGTGCTTGCTCTAGTGCAATGCTGTAAGTAGGTGCAGAGCAGCAGTGAGGGAATGCCACAGACATGAGTCTATTTGCAAGGTGCACTTAATACACTGTATCCAAACTTGGTCAGCTGAAACCAAGAAGCAAATAAATAGGACAACAGAGGCTTAAAGGAAACTTTTTCAAGATATGCTCTCCCAAAGTATGGTTGCCAGTTTAAATAGCCTGGCTATCAAATTGGTTTCAAAGAGGCAGGGAGCATACAAACAAATTCCATTTAAACATTTAAAGAAACAAAGTGCAAGACTGGATCAAGAGCATTAGACATTATACATATTAGCATATCTTGTGACGGAGACAAAACATAACTGATATATTCTATAATTTATTATTGAAAATAAATTATATAAAACCATTTAAAAAAAACAACAACAATCTATGTATAAAATGCACTTGATAATCAAATAAGAACATATTTATAATGCATTTTTATCCAATTCCTCATTGAGACCTTTAGGGCTTAATTCTTCTAACTTGAAAATCCACTGCGTTTCAACATGGATGCTGTCCAGGAGGTGGGAGGGTCTGGGAGGGAGGGTCTGCTGGAGATTGGCCGGGATGTGTCAGCTGACCGCAGCTCGCCGCGAATGGTTTGTGGCGAACCGCGGCGAGCCGTTCGCGGGAAGTTTGCGAACGGTTCGCGATATCTCTATTTAAGAATTATCATGATTCTAAGCCTTAAAATTATGGATACCAAGGGAATTTCTAAAGATTTTAGCGGCCATGCAAGTAAAGTGAAAAACCTATAAGCCATTGAAACGCAGTGGATTTCGCGGCGAACCGTGGCGAGCCGTTCACGGGAAATTCGCGAACGGTTCGCGACATCTCTATTCTTAAAGTGTATTTTGCATTCTAATATACAAAGTGTTCTTTTAAACATCTACAGGTCTCTCCTACATCTTGATATCAACATGCCAATCTATTAGGTATACCACATAGCAGCTATCACATGTAAACCTCTGATGAATATAATATACAGAACTATTATGAAACTAAGTAGCCACCACATAATTAAGTTGTGCATCAGAGTTTTTTTTAACTATTTGTCCTGCCTGTTAGCTCTTCCAGCAGGAAAGAAAAATAGTTCAGAATTTTTTTTGAAATGTATTCGGCCCAGATTTCAGTTGTCCGGC